GTCGGGCCCTTCAGCGGGCCCAGAACCCCACGCCAATTAAGGGAGGGGGGAGGGTCGGCTTCGCATTTGCGCCCCTCCCCCCCGCCCCCCTTCAAGAAATCCTGGATCCGCCCCTGACATCCGTTGGTGATAGGCCTATGTTTTCCAGAGATCAACTTCAAACTGACTGCATGATCTCTACGTTTATTTCTCTGGCTGAGAGATCTGGAGTCTCTTTTATAGCTACACGTAGCTGGCAGGTCGTACCTAGGCCTGCTCCCCCGCAGTATCGATGCGGGGATGCAATGATGTTGGGGGAGTAACGGTGCGCCTACATCGGCAGTTTTACTGGGATGTATCAATGCGGGGACCTATCTGTGTGGGGTCGTATCGATGCGCATAATACACAAAAATTTACTAAGGGAGATTATTAGTGCCGGGGAGTATCGACTTGACCCCTTGCTTTACAGGGATCTTATTCTATATGTATAAGCCTACACCATTCTATCATTGTAGGGCATTAGTGGAAGTTACATAGAACTTTATTTTTCAATAAAACATGTCTCTGTGGGACGGGTAACATCCTATATTATTTATATAAAACATGGGAAAACGCGATTGCAAAGATGTTTCTGTAATCCAAGCCTTCAACACAAAATACAACTTCAACACTAGTAGTAATTAATGAACTAAATGCATATATGTGCACAGAAAAAAGCAAGAACGTTGCATTAATTATATCAAAAAATATTTACATTTTCATAACAGCTAGTTCTCTTATCACTGATTATAAATTATTAGTCACACTTTTAATAGTTATTTGCTAAGACAACACTGTGAAATAAATCTCAATTCATTTTCAACAAATCTTTTCTAAAAATGCAAATGTAGGCCTACTGGTTAAAAATCTTGACAATGAGAATATGCTACCCGTCCCAATGTCGGACATAAAGCAAATAATAACCCATTTTTACTCCGCTTTGTCCATCCAATAAAGAAAGTACCTCTCCCTCAAATCACTGAACAACGGACACAGTAGTAGGAAACGTAGCTCATTTTTATATTATGAACGTTCTGAGTCACACAATATGGGCAAAAATCTATAGTCTTTGTCTATGTTAATGTGACGCCTATCTATCGTGAAACTGTTGTTTCTTCCTTCCTTCTTTTCTTTTGTCATCCTTCTTATAGGCCTACCCGTTAGGGTGTCGAGTGAGAAAGAGTTTGAGTTTTCTATCTCTGGCGAGCTGGAATGCTTGGTTGAGTGGGATGTTGTTCGATTGCAAGGTCTCTCGTACTCCATCTACCCACTTCTTTCTCGGCCTTCCTCTTGCCTTGAATCCGGAGTGTTTCTTTATGTACGCTTTGCTCCCCGGTAGATGTTTGGGCATGCGTGCGAGGTGACCGAACCATTTGATAGTCTGTTTTTTGAATAAGCTGATGGACAGGTGTTGACCGACTGTTTCCCGTACCACACTGTTCCTGATTTTATCCTTTCTCGTGATGTTCATCGCTTTTCTTAGGTGTCTCATTTCGCAGGCGGCTATCTTCCGTTCTAGGCTTTTTGCCAGAGTCCATGTTTGGCACTGATAGGTGAGGGTAGGTATCAATATCGATTGTATTAGTTTAACCTTGGTTTCCATGGGAATATTTTGATGTCTGAGGGGAGGGGAGAGCTGGTAACTGATGTTGTTCGCCTTCTGGATTCTGCTTTCGATCTCTCGGTTCATTCGTCCATCCTACGTGAAGACACTCCCTAGGTATTTGAACTCTTTCACTTGTTTCAAATGGTTATCATTGATTTTGATGTTTAATTTGTCTGGTACTCTGCTGACCTTCATTACTTCAGTCTTATATTGATACTCATTTTCATGCCCCGTGCTTCAAACTTCCTGTTTAGTCTGTCTGTGCACATGCTCTTGTAGATCCTCTTTGAACAACAGAAATTTGATATATATAGTGCGTTTCTGCATTTAAGTCAATATGGTAATGACAAATATCTTTCTAGTTAAAAAACAGTTTTGTACAGTTTGTATGATTAACCCTTTGGCGATGACTTTATGTTAGCAAAACATGTTTCGTAATGCACAGTCTGTCACTCTTACTGTGAGTTGGTCCATAAATACGGTAGCATCTCCTAACTTGCCCACAACCCAGGCATAACCGAAGCCATACTGGAAAAGGAGGCGTTTTACTTAGTATATGTCCCGCCGTAGTGAAGGCGAGCTTAGGTGGTCCACGTTGTCCATCCTGTCAGCTGAAGCAACAAATCATAGGTATACCTTGGGTATCTCCCCGTGGGCAATCGTGTCCAATACTTGATACACCTAGACATATAAGTTACACATAACCGTATTCTTCCAAATTCACTTGGCGCCATCAAGCTTGTAACGTTTTGGTTCAAACACGCTAGACCATACTCGTTTGCCGAACAGGACATGAGTAACCCCATATCTAAGCGGCATACATAAGAATGGGTTCTACTGCTGAGTCGAACAGTTTAAAAGCTTCGTTGTGGTGGAAGTATCCAAATACTATTGGCATCTCAATATAGCATTCACAGCCTTCGTAGCTTGTTCAGTTTGGTCGTTTGAATCAACATGATTCTCCGTGATTCAGAGTGATGGTTCATGATTCTGGCATAAGTTGCTTGTTTTGCGGAAGGTAATCGATTCGTAAAGTCACACTATAGCAGTGAAAATATGTAGTATTGGTACTGGGGTATGAAATAAAACTACCGCTCAATCTCTGTGATGCTAACCTCCTAGTTTTACTCAAAATACGCTACAGAATTTTTACCTGAAGACAGCGAAAAATACAGCCGTCACTGTATAACTCACGTCTCCCCCAGGCTTGTAACACTATGTTATACAACGGCTGAGCGAGAAACATCCTCTTGAAGAGGCTGGCAGGAACTACCTGGTGGGCAAACTTTCCCACCCTGAGAACTACCTCCCTTGCCCTGGCATACTTCACTGTTGCGCCCCTGTGTGGTGCAGAAGTAGCCATACAAAGACAATTGATACAGCCCTAAACAACAGCATGAGGCTTTTCACAGGATGTCTGAGATCAACACCCAAAACTCTATCTCCCGGTACTAAGCGGCATATTTTCCCCAGATATCAGACGGGATCAACGCTGTTTCCAACTGGCCAACAGAGTACATGAGCCAGGACATCTATTGTTCCAGTGACTCCGGCAAGATGAGGAATATACCAGGCTTTCCTCAAGGGCTCCGATGATTCCATACTTGCGAAAGTTAGAGGAGAACAAAAATGAAATGTCAACAGAGACATGGGGAATGGTGAAATATCAGGAGGAATGGGATGTTCTTTAAATTGGCAGACTGTGTGACTTCATTCCTGAAGTGAGCACTCGACCAACTGGCCATGATCTGGGTCGCCCATCATGGACTCGACTGAACCGCACCAGAGCAGGTCGTGGCCGTTTCCGTGCTAACATGTTTGAAAGGGGGCTCTGTCAATTTCCAGCATGCAAGTGTGGTGCCCCCCGACAAACAGTTAACTACATTGTTGTAGAGACTAGTCAGCTGCATCAGTACCCAGGGTTGGACTCACTTGAGTCGTTAGACGAAAGAGCTAAAGACTAGCTTGAAAATGCCAATATAATCCTTTGACTTTTGATTCTTGAGTGTACATTACCTGGATGAAAACGGACACACACACACACACACACACACACACACACATGCAACGGCTATATTGCGTGTCCTGAGTTCAACTACTGACTGACTGATCTCCAAATTTATTTCTTTGACTGAGAGATCTGAGTCTTCTAATTACGAAAGCACGGGCAATCCAGCCAACGGTGCGACTTTCTTTAGTGACAATAAAGATCGACTGTTCTCTATATACACTATACATAAAATGAATCACAAAAATATTTCAAAATGATTTTTATAGTAAGAGGAAAGGAAGCCAATTAATGTACAATCACACCCACACATTCATCCCCTTTAACATGTACACTGTACCCCTTTGACTTCAGATTGCTTGAGCACTACGGAATGGTATGGTAACATATATTGAATTCCAAATAACTGAATGCACCTTATACTGGTCTTTGAATTATTTATCTTAAGCCTATATGCTGTCGTCTATATTGGCGACAGATGTTCTTCTTGAAATGAAGTCAGAAGTGACGCAGATTCAGGTAGTAATTTTCTGTGTAGAATAATATCACTGAAAGACACATCCATGGCAAAGAAACATACAAATAATGAAGCGTTGAGAGTAACTGAAATGGAGATTGTATTCGCAAGGTAGGTTGCCGTATTCACATTGATTTATTATTTTGTTTCACAGTTCAACACAATCGTATGACTGGATAATTAAATAAGCATACAATGTTTTCCGAAATCATAATTTACATTACATTTCATGTGTTCCTTGGATTGAGAGGTAACGAGTTCTTACACATGATTATGAAATAAGTACCGATACACGTAAGGGTGATTTCTAGGATGAAAACAGCTAGGTTCAGTGAGCATTCTTAAATGTACAGGTAGAAAGTTAAAATTGGTTTTCGTAAGTAAGTAATGTGCCATATTAAATTTTAAAAATCTGAAAAATGTGACTAATTTATTCTCGATCTACGCATATGATCATACGCTCAGGTGGGCCAAACGGTTCGAAGATTTTTCAGTCCATCGTTTCATTAGTCGAAAGGGTAGTTGGTCCAAAGGACACTTAAAAAAAAGATCCATTTCACACCAGTGCAGGTGAGAATTGTTCCTGTGTTTTGATAGCAGCTATTATTTGACTACAGATAAATAAAAAATTAAGAAACATTAATATAATTAACAGAGGACCAGTGAAACTTCGGACAAATGAACCTTCTTAGGTCGCACCCATCAGCTGGACAAAATATCCACAGTTGGCAACAGTCACATTACCCCTTTTGTCAAACAACTTCACTAGCTACGCATAAAAGCGCGGATTCTTTTTAAACTTTTAGTGTGTGCTGAATCTGCTTTTTACAACTTGGCCCTACCATATTTATGCAAGCTTGCAAAAACTGACGAACATCCCCCCCCCCCC